ACACACACACACACACACACATATATATATATATATATAGATATTGTATGTTTATATATATCTATTTTCTTTTAAGAATACATACATACACACATATCCTTACGTATCCATACGCACACACACACACACACACACATATATATATATATAGGTGGCATGATTATATGTGTATGTATTTCAAAATGAGACAGGACAAAACATCGAACTCTGATTGATATTATACATCTTCCAAAAACGTACGTTTCCCTTAGCTTCTTCTCCAGGCAAGGAACGAAGAAATTTGAGTGTAGAAACTCAGATAGGTGGTCATCGAGACCAACACTTTTGCAGAATACTCTGTCTACGTATGTCGCCCACGCTTTGAATCCGTCTAAACTCCTGATTAGCCGCTTACGATCCTGCTCGGATGCCCCCCGTACCGCAGGGAGTGCATTGAACGCCGAAGATAGGTGGTCCATCTGTCCATTGAGCATTGAGATAAAGTGTTGGAAACCTTGTCAAAACAAGACAACGGCATTCGTGCGTGTAGACCAATACGTATCTCATTGCTCGCACGTTCCAAGGATTGGGCAGAGAAGTATTCAGAACAGCCACGCAAACAGTGAATAGCACCATTTAAAGGATACTCTAACTCCTAAAACTAACGCCCCCTTGAGTATTTGACCTTAAATGCTTACAGCGGTAGACTAACACGTGCGGGATGCGCTCTGGGGGTCTGTTTCACTGTCCATAAACCATTTGGAACACATGTCAATGCCATACGTCATCGTTCATTGACCTCACATCGGTTTGCCACAAAGATCAGACTAGTAGGTCTCGCATATCACTAGACACTACCGTTCTAAGACATTTGTATCTGTCGATAGCCACGGCAATCATCCCCACGAATGGCACATATAGACAGCCTACATACATAACATCGGTTGCATGTCTTACCAGGAGTATTGTCAGCCGCTTACTACTGGTGATATACTTTGAAATCTCGGGCGAATCACAGGCCACCAGAGCGAGAATGGACTCGCAAGCTCTGTTGACCACCTACGCATACATTAGAATGTTTCAAAGTCAATCCGAAGGCATACATGTGTTTTATTGGCAAGCCAAGTATCGTCTTGATGTGAGTAATGCAAAGGCATGTTCCTAGTGAATAGAAGTTAGGTCGGCAGTCCCTTTGGGTGGTGGTATCCTTATGCGAGTATACTGGGCGGGTACATATATAGGTACCGTGGACTATAGCTGTGTGCATGTTGGTCAACAATCGGTACACTACAAGTAATAATGTAATCTGACCGCAAACATTGACAGTCTTCCCATATGGTAAACACACTTAACAGTGTAAAACACAAAGCATATTCCTTTCCCGTCAATCTGGACTCACTATTCCCCAAGCAACATCCGATTGGCAAGAACAGTCTGAGGTGCACCAAAACACATAGGCGCAGCTCATTCGATGCCGTGCAAAAGATGCGGAGAACTTACCTGTATGTCCTCGCTACTTAGCAGATCTGTCAGTGCATCGAGGATGAAAAACTCTGATTCGCCATCTCCATACCCTAAACTCTCCACCTGCAATGCGCATGTGTACGGTGTTGTTTTATGAGCGATGCAGGTCAGTCGCCCAAATGATGCAACTTGAACATGAAGTAGAACCCACGAACCTCAACTACATCAGACACCACGTTAACCTCCATTCTTACATGGCTTTTATTCTCCTCCGTGATCCGGTCAATAAAGTACGGCACACAGGTAGGGTTGTCTCGCAACAGGTGTGCGAGGACTGATAGGATGTTCGCCACATCTTCCTCATACAGGCTCATCTTTGGCTTGTGACAGGACTTGATCAGATCCATCAGCGGACCGGGCACCTTCGCATGGGTCAGCACCACGTTGGTATTCATCAGATCGCTTTGCCGCACCACCGGAGATTCGTCGGCCGGGTTACCGTGGGCACTCATTCGACGTGCGCGTATGTCGGCGTGTCTGTGGTGTGGTGTGGTGTGGTATGGTGTGATGTGGTGTGGTGGTGTGAGAGATGGATTGCATGAGCATGTGGTCGCCGTAGATCGATAGAGTCTGCAGTAGTCGTACGAATTGGCCTAAAACCATTGAGAGGTCCGTGCCGGGGATTAACGCAATCATTTAAATTATTATAAGGAAAATAGACCCAGTGTGAATAGTAAAACAATAATCCATCGCCACTTACATGCCAAACGCATTGTCCTTAAGAAACGTGGTCAGAAACTGCAGGACCTCTTCCTTCATGCCCACAGGCGTATCTCCCTGGCCCAACACACAGAGTGTGGAGAATACATGGTTCAGCATATACTCCAAGCAAGGGGTCGCATCCCCTCTATGCGCACTCACACCGCCACCCAGCCCTTTAATACCATCAATAGGCCCAGACGGGGGCAGCCTTGAGTTGCTCACTTCAGCTGTGTTTGCAGCTACACCCACCCGCATGGATGCTTGGGCGCTGGATGTTCTGCGTGTCTTGTCCGTGGACTCTGCTGATTCGTCGTAGCCTTCGTCGTCGTACTGGTCATCGTCGCTGTCGAACATGCCTGCTTGGTGCCGTTCATGTCGCAGCTTCTCGATCAAGATGGCGAGCTGATCGGGAATCTGAGGGTAACAGTATATGCGTACGTTGCAATGGTTAGCGGGATAGTTACGGGAATCTGAGGGTAGCAGTATATGCGTACGTTGCAATGGGTAACGGGATAGTTACGGGAATCTGAGGGTAGCAGTATGTGCTTACGTTGCAATGGAGAACGGAATAGTTACGGGAATCTGAGGATAGCAGTATATGCTTACGTTGCAATGGGTAACGGAATAGTTACGGGAATCTGAGGATAGCAGTATATGCGTACGTTGCAATGACTAACGGAATAGTGACAGGAATACGAGGGTAGCAGTATATACGCACGTTGCGATAGTTAACGGAATCGTAATTTGGTAGCCCAATCTCACATAACAAGCTGCCATTCCGTTGATTGTCGGCGAGCGTGCTCAATGTGAGGCATATGTGAAATATATCTCGATAAATAGTAGCAATCAGCCAGCGAGACATAGACCACGGTTTCAGAGAGAATATTGGAATTCAAACTTTGGGGCGATTGTAGTATTACGGCTGTAATATAATCCATACATACGAACAATCATACTTAATGACGTTCATAGATAGATAAATAAATAGATATTCGGACAAACACACAACCATACAAAAACAGACACAGATAGAGAGAAAGAAATGTCCTATATATATATATGTATATATATATATATATATATATATATATACACTACACACACACACACACACACACACACACACACACACACACACAACAC